TAAGCTCTACTCCCGAAGCCTCTTCGTCGACTGGATCGCTTTTCGATGGGTCTTGGCGCGACGTGAGGTATGTTAAATTAAGGATAACACATCTACATGTACCCCAATCAAAGACATATTTTACTGGGAAAACAGTGAGACTCACGCAAGCCACTCGGGGAACACACCCAGCAGATTTTCAATGGCATTGAAGCGCGATGTAAACCCAGAATTCGTGTAATTTTCCGCTAATATCAAATGGACATAAGTCTTGGTAAGCCCCGTGAGGAAGAAGACTGACGATTGTAGTATGATAACTAAGTAAAAGATAAATCGGATGTAAATTTGTCTGGAAGAAAAAACTCACATCAAAGACCGCAGCCTGCAACACGCCTAACACGCCGCGAACTATAAGCGGGAACCACGCCATGAGGAGGAGAGTGAGCGTCGAGTGCACAGTACCGCTCTTACGGCGTGCGTCCCCCTCCCGACGGTTGTTGCGCATCGTAACAAGAATGATGCCCAAGAGGACCATGTTGCAGGCGAGAAACGCACTTTGGCCCGCAGTTCGCGCGATCTTGGCCACGCGGAGGCGGCGCTGTGTGGCCGACGAGTCAATTTCCGCTGGGCTGGTGTCAGCAGCAGAGAGGTAGCTCCCGCCGGTGATGGTGGCGGCGTTGGCGAGTATGAGGACGGTGTTGAAGGTCACCATTGGGTTGTCGGGGTTGTAGAATAATCTCGATATACGGGCCAGCAAACTGAAGGGAAGGAGGAAGAGCCAAGCGATCCCGGTGTACCGTGGGGCGGCATTGGCAGGAGGCGGGTCCGAATCTTTAGCACTCGGTTCGAGCCATGATGAGTGGCTAGGGAGGTTGTGTTGGTGCCAGGAGATGAGAAAGCGGAAGGTGCATATGACCTACGCGTGTAATTAAGACATCTGGGGACAGACAGAAAAACGGGTGCTGCACGGACCAAAGAAAAATAGCCTTCCGCACCAAGGATGAGGTACGCTAGGAATAGATCCGGGTTGGAAAATCCTACCACACCAAAGCCGATTCCACACCCCTGGGAAGTGAGTCGTATTGTAACATGAGAGAATAGTAAAGACCATTTGGAACGCCATTTGATACGGTGTGTGAGATAGGCATAAAGCATCCATGCGAAGATGGCAAGGTACTACAAAAATATTAGTTTGCTTCTGGTCGCAATAAGAGGGTGGACCTGCTCCTATCAGAAAGGTCAGCGCTGCAGCTGCCTCAGCCGTGAATTCGGCCATTGTTTAAAATTTCGGGGCAGGCAGTGGCTTGAGGGACAATGCTAGAGATCCAAAACGGCGAGTATTAAATACCATCTTCGCTGCTTCTTTTCCCATTTGTGCTGCTGCGCCGTTTCTATTTATAAGTGGCAGTGCTTGGACTCTTTGGCAACATTTAACTTTGTACATACCGTCTGACGGTACCAGTTTCCGTGCCAGTAAGATTGCAGTGAGACTGACTTTCTAGCTTTGAGACCATTAGAGTACTTATTTTCGCGCCCTAGTCAAAAGATGCAAGTGTAAAACGGAGCACCACTCAAGTCCGAATAGATAGCAGAAAAAAGAGAGCCAGGCAGGGCAGCGCAGTCAAAGTGGTGGAGCAAGCCAAGGAAAAGCTGTGCTGCTTACTCTTTCTTGATTGGTCCATGGGCCGCATGGCCGATCAGTGATCAAAAAGCGATGTGTCAATTTGCTCCCACGCTCCATTCATGTGATGGGTTGGCCTGCTAGACTCGTCACCAGTCTGTAACCAGATACCGAAAATATGTGGCGAGCACTTCGGTGGTTACAGACTAGTACAACTTGTTGAAAGTGATTGAGCTGTCCCCGGAGTTTCAAATTTTAGCAGGTGCCGTGATCGGCCGGCACAAGAGCCATCAGACCCCATCAATTCTGGTCGAAAGTTGATGGCTCTTTCCACTCTCCCAAGCTAGATTAAAAAATAAGTGAGGAGACAGATTGAGCTATTTTTAAAGTAAAATCATTCATGTGTGCTCCAAATTGATTCATACTCAAACTGCATCCCAGAACAGGGCCCTCACCAAATTTTCAAACTCCGCAGACAGCCCAATGCAATAACCCGAGTTGTACCAGTCTGTATACACCGAAGTGCTTGCCACATTTTTTGGCCATTGTATACAGACTGGTTACGAGTCTATTGGCCTGCTATGGCTCAGTTGGATGCACGTCTCATTCTGGAATTCAGTCCCTGCTCTCAAGATTGACTTAGTGCGACGGGGATCGGTAGAGATGCGAGTACAATGCATGGGAAACCAGCATGGCATCCCGGAGGCGGCAAGAGATGAGCTGTCCAGATATGCAACCTTGGCCAAATGCGTGGGAGCAAGATCCATGAGGTAGATCAAATATCCCAGAACCAAAAAGGGACAACGGTAAGTTAATGGAAGAATGCCGGTCTCGGTAAACAGAGGTGCGGTATCGCGGAGTTCCTTCTTGAACACAGAGCAGCCGTGAACATTCCCGGTCAGAGTTTAGGGCTCTAACGAGGTCTCACTAATACTGCAGTTCAAGGCGGCCGTGAGGGGACTGCACTCTACGCAGCGGCGCATCGTGGACATCTGGACACTGTCACGCTCCTGTTTGAACACGGCGCGGACCCGAATATTCCTGGTGAGAATTCAAATTGATTGGAGATGAGGTCCCACTAACACGAGAGTCCAAGGGCACCGTTATGGGACTCCGCTGTACAGAGCAGCTTATTGTGGACACCTCCGAATCGTCGAGCTCCTCCTGGAATGCGGGGCAAACCCGATGATTCAAGGTGAGAAAGAATATGATGGACTCTAATGATCGTCTACTTAAACCGCAGTCCAAGGCGGCGAATACAAGACTGCACTGCGGGCAGCGTTGGAAAGGGGACAAGTACATGTCGTCAGGTGCCTGAAAGCACATTTTGGTTTACCAAGTAACCTTTGTTTACTGGTAGACTCTGAGGATATATACCTGGAAGGAGAGAACTCCGACGAGTGGTGTAGGGCGGTACACAGTATGGAGGCTACCATCGAGTAGCGGGAGATCAGTAAAACCCATGTGTGAGAAATTTAATTATTTGATGGTATACAGCAAGACATATGGCCCATATGAAGTCCCCAAAGTCATTGTCACTAAGTGTTCAGTTGGGTGGCCGACGTCATCCGTCACTGTTCCTGCGGACAATAGGGATACATAAAACATTAGGCAGAGCCGACTGTAAGCCCACAGCTTTTGCGTAACAAATACCACCAGCGACAAATCGGCGCCGTGCTCAAACAGGTCAATGTGAGCCAACCAATCATGAGCAAAGTGGTTGGTTTTCATTTCCTGTGTATTTTGGCATGGGCATGTTAATGTATTCTAAATGTTTTAGATATATTGGCGGGAGTGCTAGAGAACAGCCCGGAACCGTGTGGAGTCATTGGAACAACCTGCCAGTAAGTACAACTTATCCTGACTCGATGACTCTCAAGGTAATGCAAGGCAATGCACAGAGCAATCACTAGGCCGAAGGTGTATATATTAAATTTCCTACTCACTAGTATATAAACTACCGGATCTTACACCCATAATAAGAACAATTTTATCCCACTCAAACTCGTACTCTTATAAAGTCAACAGCTCGCCACGCTCACTCCGTAGCACAACAGTATCTTCCCAGAATCTGTGCCAATAAGATACTTCCTCTATACTTAAAATATGGTCGGATTCATCTTAGGACTCAAGCGGCATGAAAAAATCAATATCATCTATTTAAGACAGCTTCAACTTCCCCACTTCAATGCATTATTTCCTCCGCCAAACTCAAATACACTCCTAATTCAAAGCTCCTGGAAAAAGTTCTCTGACCATTGAAGCTTGAAGAATGTACTGGACCAGGAATACACCTTAACATTATAAATGAATAATTCAAAGCCACCTACCAGCAATATCACATTCAATGGCATTGGAAAAGTTGTAAGATGGCCTCCCTCAAGCTGTAACCTCTCGAAATTGTCTCCAAATGAAGTTGTGATTCTACAGTAAGTTTGCCCAATTTCAAGCTGTCTCCCGATTTCTGCTCTTTGGGTAAGTTGGACCTAAAAAGTTGTCAAATCTCTCCAAGCTGCTCCCAAATTAGTGAAAAAAATGGCGAAGTTGTAGAAAATAAAGTATCAGACCTGCCTGGCTGGCGAACGAAGTGAGAGAGAGGGGAAAACCTGAGAGTAGTAAGAGGAAGGAATATGGCAAACATCCACCCACAGACCTCTTTCTCCTAACACTTGGAATGCAAACAAATGTGAGACCGCTTTCCTTTTCCCCCAATGTTAAAAACAAAAAAAACTGTGAGAAGTCCTTATAATCCGGGGTATAAGGCAACCTTGTCATAAGAATCTTTCAAAATTTGGGATATTATTGGTGAGCATCGGAGAGCAGTAGTGCAAGTTCGGCACAACAGCTCATATTGTAGACAACCCACAAATCCCAACAACAAGTGATCCCAGAATGGATTCGGAGGTTATCGACGATTTAAAGAAGGAAGTTGTTTATCGTTACTTTGAGTGTCTACTCCACCTACAGTGGTGGCCAAAAAGAATTGCCGCGCTCGTTTGGACCCGTTACTGGGCCAAATCACTCCAAATAAAATGCTAGCATGAATTCTGAACAATTTCAGGAGGTTTCACACTCTTTAACCCATACCATACCCGCCTCGATGTCTCGAAATAAATTAATTTGGCATTCTTTGAAAAATGAAGTCCGCAGATGTGCCTGGTACCAAAAAATGGTCATACTAGCATGAAAATACTTGAAAAATAGTGCACATTCACATTTTGCTTGGATGGAATTGATCAGCATTTGGGCTCGCAAAGGCCCTCCAAGTTCGTCACTTTTGACATTTTGGCGGCATTTTTCATGTTTGTCGCAGAAAATGAGCAAGTTGAAGGGCCCCAAATGTTTATTCAATTCCATCCAAGCAAAATGACCGGCGGTTGCAAGTCTATGAAAAAAAAGATCCGTCCTCCCCGCCTCGAACAGGGGGGGGGACCTCAAGATATCCTATTGCAGTCTTGCGCTACTACCAACTGAGCTAAGGACGGAGAATAAGAATATCGGGCACCCCCATCAGAGGCTGAACAACAACCCTGGAGGCTGCAAAAAAAGGATCGTACCTCACACTTCGCTTGCCCTAACTCCTCGAAAGCGGGGCGCAGGCGTTGCGGACATCGGTCTTGAGGGACAATAGCGGACGAGTGGGCGACGGCGACGTGCAGCGGGTGCGGGGGAGGACGAGGATGGTGGCGGGAAGAGAGAAACACTGGTGGCAGCCAGGCGGACTTGTTTAAATTCCGCCTCAGATCAAAATCCCAATAGAGAGTTTGCGCAGAAGCCACTGGAGCCACGTGGTGGCTTTTTGGCTGTGCGCAACTGGGTGGCTCCACAGCCAAAATATGACGTCAATGGCTCTGTGGAGCCACCCGCCTGCTATTTTTGCGCACGGCCCGAAAGCCACTGGGTGGCTCCAGTGGCTCCTGCGCAAACACGCTAATATGGCAATTTTGATGGCGGCATAATTTGGCCGCATCAAGCCGGTTCGAGATGCCGACGATGACGAAGCACAACAAAGTTCAAACATTATCCTAAGTCATTGATGGCGACTCAAAATGCAGAATTACAGCGGAATTCGAAGTGATGATGCTGGCCAATAGTATTTTACTGGAATGAATAGACATTGATTTACAATATCATGTCGACGGGTGAGCGCGGCCCCGAGCGTTATGGCGGCTCGCCCGTCATGGTTCGCTGTTGCGATGCTGCATACCGCGCAAGCGAGGCGCGTCACGGTGATGGCGGCGAGCACGAGAAGCCGTGCGATGCACCAATATCACGTACACGCCACAGACGCGCCGCCATGAGTTCGCGCGCAGGCCTGCCGCCTAGCCTGCCGAGCCCATCACAGCCCATCACAGCCTGCGACCAATACGATGCGATCCCTACGGCGGCCGTGAGTGATGAGGACCAACGTGGACAACATGGGAGCGGGCCAGGGGGCCTTAGGCTTCGGGCACACTTGTTAGGCACACCGCGCGCCGACGTGCGCTTGCAGTCGTAATAGGCAGTGTAGATGAGGGGAACGTAAGGAAAGGAAGGTCCTCTGTCGGTGCTGACGGTGGTGACAAGAGCGAAGAGAGAGAGCAGCGTGTGGCTGACGGTCTCGCGGAGTTTGAAAGTGTGCCGCCGCGCCGCCATCAGAATTGCCATATTGGGATTTTGATCTGAGGCGGAATGTCAAAAGTGGCCAGGCGTGAGCGGAGCTTGAAAGTGCCGCAAATCTTGCCGCCATCAAATTACCAGATCGGGACAGTGATCTGAGGCGGAAAGTCAAGAGTGCAGCAGCCATGGCGGAGTTTGAATTAACTTGGCCTCCTAAAATGACAAATTTGCAGTAACCACTGTGACCATGCATGACGTCGACTCTATCTCGCCACCGGATGTGCCCTTCCCCAGCTCTCTACATTGGACCACAGATTTGGCCCCGCATTCCATCCCTGTCGACCGAGTACAGACTAAAAAGTCAAAGTATCAATGCCACTCGCCGTTCTAGGATGGTCTTTTTGGGGGCTTGGTGCATTCACGCGCACCACCATCGAAACTTCGCCGTGCTGCACTCCCCAGCACAGTCATCTCTACCTACCATCTCTGAGTCTGCACGTCCGCTCTTCTCTCTCCTCTTCTCCCGCGCCCCGCCCCTTTCCCTCGCATCCTCCCGTCATCCTTACTCATTCTCTCCACCTTCCCCTGTCCTCCCACCCTCGTTCTCGCTAACGAATCCTTACCCCAGGACTCTTTCGAATTCGCTGCATGCAACGATATTGGATGGGGCCACGCATAGATACTCAAACACAACCTCCACAGGAGCCACGCGGTGCGGATACTTCGGTGTGTTCCTCATCTCTTTCCTCCCATCCAAAGCAGCGCGGGATCCTGTGGTGCGCGTTGCGTGCGTTAGCCCCGGCCGCATCGCGTCGCACGCGCAATTGCCCCCGAGCCACCCTTGAGCCTTGCGCCCCCGCCGCGCTTGGTCTTGGTCTTTCGCTGCATTGTGCTCCTGCTTCGCGCTTGCTCTGCGGTGTTTCCCTTGCGCCGCGCCGGCGTCCTTGCACCGCGTTGTGCGCTTGTCCCTGTGCTGCCCAGCCGCGCCGCGTCGTGCGGTCGTGCGCGCGCCTGTCCCTGAGCAGCACCACATCGCGCTCGCGCTTGTTCTTGTGCCGTGCTGCGCCCCTGCATGCTTACCCCTCCGCGGTGTCGCACTCGCTTACTTATTCCTGCGCGCATCGCGCGCGCCTGCCCCTGTGCCGCGTTGTTGGCAGGCCGCCGGTTTGAATGCCGGAGCACCGGCACCCTTCTTGCCTTCTTACCCTCATAGGGCGCTCTCCCGCTGTGAACAGACGAAAAAATAGCCACCATCACGGCCAACTTATGTCCGTGCGCGGAGTGGCCACGACATGTTTCTTTTTTTGACGGGGCCTCTCGTCGGGAAGAGGCGAAACAAATAGCCTATTATGGCCAAATGTGTGCGCACAGAGTGGCCCAGACGTGCTTCTTCGTATATTTTTATATTATACATTGATTATGCACTGCTCATGTGACGAGCACCGAGGTGTTGTTCCGATCACCATTGGATCGGGGCGCCAACATTTTCTTTCCTAACGACAAAAACCAACAAAAAACATATGTTCTGTCTTTTTCAGCTCTCCATTTTTATTATTTGGCACTACACATGTATAATTTGATTTGAGTCCCGAATTTCGCAGGCTGTGATGGTTGCCTTTGCTTGGTGGGCAGTGCGCGGTGGCGTCGGGTTGTGGGCGCCGTAAATGGTTGGCGCCAGATCTGATGGTGGTCGACTCAATTGGCCGAGTACATATATGCTAACTCAGGCAGATCCGTGATTGGATACGGTCGAAGTCCGCCAGACTTCAGAAGCACTTACGATGGCACCATTAATAGCTATTGGGTGGCCCACTTATCGCCTTTCTCTCAACCCTTCATGCCCATCGTACTGGCTGCGGCATTGGTCTTTTTTTGTGCCCTCGTGTGGTTTAGGAAAGTAGGAGCGCGCGAAGCAGGACTGCCCCCGGGACCTGCAACCCTACCATTCTTGGGGAATTTGCATATATTTCCCACTGGATTTGCCCACTACAAGTCAATACTGCATGACCTTGACCCGTGAAATAGCTCACTTCTTCATAGATTCACAGAATGGGCACGTAAATACGGCGGCATTTATTCGGTGAGAACATTCATTTGACTTTAAACTTCAATTTGACTGACTCGCTGACAAGCTAAAACTGGGTTCCGGTACAGTGGTGGTCCTAACTGACGCGGCCGCAGTTAAAGAGCTCATGGATATACGGAGCGCAACAACGGCCGATAGGCCGCCGATGCACGTAGCAGATGTTGTCACGGGAGGGTTGCACCTGGCTCAAGGACGTTACGGTTTGCGTGTGCAACTGTTCTAGTAATCTCATATTCACTGCATTCGCAGCCGAAAACTGGAGGACCCTCCGTCGGGCCGCCCATGCAATTCTCACTCCTCAAGCATCCGCCCGTCATCTGCCAATCCAACAAGCCGAAGCTACACAACTACTTCATGATATTCTCCGTCAACCGCAGGTTCGCACACGCTCCAATTGGCCTCTCTCACTGTTTCGTGCAAACCGACATTTCTCTTCTTCAGGCTTATCGTGTGCACACTCGACGCTACTCTAGTTCAGTCATCATGTCGGTTCTCTATGGAAAGCGTTCGCCACGGTACGAAACACCTCAAACGACGGCGTTCTTCAAGGCCCAGCACGAATGGGACCTGCTCCTCGAGCCCGGTACTACACCCCCAATCGACTTCATTCCAATATTGAAACATGTCCCCGCACGCTTCGCGAAATGGAAGAGAGACTGCGCGAAGGTCCGAAAACTACAACGGGATTTGTATTTCGGGCTTCTGGACGAAACCAAGGAGAGATTGAGCGCAGGAGAAGAAAACGGCAGCTACATGGAGGAGGTACTGACCAGGCAAGAGGAATTCGGGATGGAGAGAGAAATGACTGGGTCGCATTTCTACATTTCACGGCTGCCGACCTTGAGAGCTGACGCGAAATCCAGGTATCTTGGTGGAATTCTGATTGAAGGCGGCTCAGACACGACCTCCTTGTATATTCAGTCTCTAATCTTGGCATTGATCGCGTACCCTGAAGCGCAAAAGAAGGCACAGGAAGAGGTTGATCGTGTAGTTGGCGAGCACCGCATGCCGACTTTGGAAGATCTTGAGGAGATGCCTTATATTCGTGCTATGATTCTCGAAGTGGGTCTTCTCTGCGATTACTTCAGTAAATTCATTTATTTCCCAATTTTGGTAAATTCTTCCAGGCGCACCGTTTCCGCCCTGTAGCCCCACTCCTGATTCCTCACGCAACACTGGCTCGGGAAGAAGTTCGTATGGGATCGTTCCGCCAATTTTCATCGCTGACCTGACTTGAAAAGTACAAAGGCTACGTTATTCCCAAGGGCGCCACTATTTTCGTGAACGCTTGTGAGTCAATGGCAATATTCTGAACGTTCTAGTCTCACTTGTGACAGGGGGCATATTTCATGATCCAGGTTGACCTCGGTTTTCCCATCGTCATTTGACTACTGACCCCACTGTAAGAGCTTTATGACGACCCGGAGAATTTTATTCCGGACCGATATCTACTGACTAAGAATGGCACGAAACCTGGAGTCGATGGCAGTAACTTGCGACCAAACTTGGCGTTTGGAGTCGGCCGAGTGAGTTTCTCAGTCTAATTCTTTCTGCTGCTATAGCCACCCACCACCCTGCAACACCAGAGAACCTGCCCCGGCATTCATTTGGCCCAGAACTCCATTAATATCAACACCATGAACCTTGTGTGGGCATTCAATTTCGAGACCGACACTGACTCGGCCGGCAACCCCGTCAAAGTGGATGTATTTGACTACGAGAAGGTCAATTGGTTTGATTGACTAAATACGCGAGACTGATATAGCGCAGGGATTCTTGCCATCCCCGCGCCCCTTTCGA